TCCTACCTACACCTTCAGTGCCTCCAAAGGAGATAGAGCCTTCCTCAGTTCAAGAGATGGCCACACCTCTACCTTCAGAGCTCTTTGAGAATGTGCATACATCTCCCGTCCAAGCAGATAGCCTCTGCCCCATCTCTATAAAACTCCCTAACCTTACAGCCTCTTCTCCACCATGTCCAGACGTCCTACCTCAGACTCCAGAGCCTTCCAAGGAGAGTAAACCTTTAGCAGTACAGCAGGGGACCCCCCTTGCTAACTGGGTGACCCTCTCCATGTATCCACACTCTTCACACTTCCTCCCTGGCTTCCCTGTGCCCATCTTTCCTGACCCTTCCTGCCTTCTGAATTGTATTGTGGGATAAGTGATGCCTTTTTGGTCTTGCACCATAAACTGTGATGAGAAATACATTCCCTATGGTGATTTCTCTTTTTAGGTCTGTACGTTGTTTGACTGAAATGAGTTCAGCCTCAGTTTTGAAGGGTGTCTCAGGGTCATTCTTGGGAATTACAATTTCTACCAGACCAATAAAGCTAGTCTTTTTACAAAATTATTTACAACCTTGTTCTACATTTTTCTCCTGCTCAGTTAACAACCCTGTATTGTGATCTTAATCACAGCAGTCAGAGGTGGTAGCTGGGAACCATCTGCGTATTCTGGTTTCAGGCTGATGGAAACGGAAAATGATGCCCCATTTTTCTTAAGTGTCTTCATTTCATGCCCTTACCTCTCACTTTTGTTCTCTCATCTTTACACGATCCTGTTCTTTTTCCATCTCACTGAAGATGATACAAAAGGGGTTAAGAGGAGACATTCTAGAACCAAACTACTTAGAGTTGAACTCAGCTCCATGATTCTATCTCCACATCTCTAAAAGTATCCTCTCATAGGATACTTGGGAGACTCAAACAAGTTCATAAGGCACATATGTGAATATCACTATTACCCTTTTTATCCTCCAGTTATGTCTGGAACTTTTATGTCCACCTACATTTTTGGTCCTGGCTTTTTATGAACAGTACCTGTTATATGCCCAAAAGTGGGCGAGGTACTGTAGGAGTCACAAAAGTGTAAGATATTACTTTGGGAACATAACACTGGTAGATGTGAGATAAGAAATATGCATGAAAAAGGAAGTGGTAATGTAATCATGTTCAAAAGAGATGCAAAGTACATGGAATTCAATAAAATCTGTAATGAGCAGTATGCAGAAATCAGAGAAAGCTAAGTGGACAAAATAAAGCCACAACCTATAGAGAGTGACTCACTCACTGCTTTGAAGTGACTCACTCCTTTGAAGTCCTGATTGACTCATAGCTGACATTCCATGGGACTTCTATGACTGGAAATGCACGGAAAGAGATCAGCCAGCTTTCTCCCTCAAAGCGTTGGGTAGATTGAAACCGTGAGAAATGTGTGACCTTTCGGTTAGCAGCGCAACTCTTTAA